CATTGTACATCTGTAAGATTGGAGATACTGGATTCTTTGGAAGTGTTGTCTTTAAAAATAAATTTTTAAACGTATATTATTACAACACTTCTCTTTAACTTCACTTCTTGTTTGTTTGTCTGTCTGTCTGTCTGCTACATATCTTATAATCAAAATTTAACACACTTATACGTATCCTATCGATCTGAAATTTTGCACACTTTTGTAAAGTTGGAGACAATGCATGAATCAAATGTCAAGATAAAAGATTTTAAAAATTTAATTTATTTTTCAAAATAAAAAAAAAATTTAAAAAATAATTTTGTCAGCTCCAAATCTTATAACTGATATTTGACACACTTTTACCTGTCTAATTGATCTGAAATTTTGCACTCATGTGTGTAGTCACAGGCAATGCATGAATCAATTAACAGAATAAAAAATATTGAAAACAAATTTATATATTAACAAAAATTTATATATATTAAAAAAATTGACAAGTTAATTTTCTTAATTTTTTAAAATTAGATGAGAAATTCATTGTACATCTGTAAGATTGGAGATACTGGAATCCTTGGAAGTGTTGTATTTAAAAAGTAATTTTTAAACGTATATTATTTCTATTGATAACTCGAGCTCTTGACGGGCTTCATCGCCCTCAATAATTACTCTATATACAAATTAGTGACCGAAGTTGCACGAACATTGAAACTATTTAAGCAAATAAAACAGAAAGTTTGCATGAGAAAATTATGACATGTACGGATTCGGCAACACACTTCTTTATTATCATTCTTTCTCTGTGGCTAAAATATAATTCATTGTGCATACGTAGCGGGCCTGTATAGCATGGTTGAACTAGTATATATCTCAACCATGCTGTATAGTCCGTAAAAATGAACCCATTGACCATTTTACTCCATGGTTGAATTAAATGTCTCCATGGTATTAAATTAAATGTCTCCATCGACCAATGTCTCCATGGTATTAATTCAACCATGAGTTATCTCCGGACATACAGGCGGACACATCAGCGAATAAGAAAAGAAAGTGGGAAAAAATTCTCCGTACACGCCTACATGAGAAGATTTTAAATAAAGTTGCTCTGTACAGGATTTAGAGTTTAGACCAATAATTACGTTTTGCTTTGAAGTTTATTGTAGATAAGGGATACTATGATGCAATTGTTTGTTCGTGATTATCATCTTTAAATGAAATATATGCTTTCGGTTAGTGTTGGTCAAAATAAAAAACAACGATAACAATGACAGGATGTGGGCCGTTCTCTTCGCTTACTATTGCGCTCTCCAGTCATATGTAGGAAAGTACTATTTTAATTTATTCGACATTCGTTGTACTTTTGTTAAATTATCTGCCCTTGAACTGTTCTCATTTCTGTCTGTTTTGGGATGAATAAATTTGTAGAAACTTCCCTACTCAATTATTGTAGGTAAATTGTTGAACTTTTACACTTGGAGAATCAACAATCTTACTAGCCTAGCTACAATTACAATCACTGAATCAGTACCTACATCCTACAAAAATTATTCTCTGGAGAAATTATTCGTGTTTATTTGATGAATTCTCTGGTGTGTAAAATCCGATCATAGCAATGTAATGTGCATAAACAAAAATCTCAATATTTTAATGAAAATATAGATACATGATCATACATCACCCATGGCCATGGAACTGAAGATAAATTTGTGTTTGTCAATTTATGCAATTTTTACCAATGTTCGGTTCATAGCCTAGTGGCAAACCAGATAATTTTTAGAATCGGTTCATTTTTAATTTCCTCAAACCTCATTTACTCAATATTTAAACCAATTTCTTATGTATGATAATGCTGGTATCCATGATACTTTACTGGTCTACTTATAGTAGCCTAGGCTACTCAAAATTGAACTTGAGGGAGAGTCTAAAAAATTCTCTGCTTAACTGCTTGGGATATTTTATGTATGATAATGGTAATGCCTAGCTAAATTTAGTTCAGGCTCCTATAATAAAAACACTTTAAAGTTTAAAAGTCAAGATCATCTATCATTCTATCAAACTAAAGTGAAAAATTGGTACAAAGCTAGTTATAAATCTGATAAAAGTGCTCCAAAATTTAGCCAAAGTCACCATTTTCTATGGCATTTTCCTAATTTGTCAGTAAAAAAACTGCTTTTGCCCTCTTCACCTGCCATTTTTGAGAATCCTGTGTAAAAGGTATGGTTGAATTCCAGAAAATTGGTCACATTATCACATAGTTCTTGAAAAGCCACTCAAAAATCCTTCTTGGCAGCATGCTGACTACGGACTGAGGCCTGGTGGCGGTCAGGCGGTGGGTACTCTCTCCATCAGCCAGAGCGCAGAGAGTGCAAGCAGCATCACCAAGATATGATTTTTTAGCCCAATCTGCCCAAAGCGTCGCCAGCCATTTTCAAGATCCGTCACCAGATAATTTTTAATAAGAAAGTGCTGCAAGCAACTTTGATAGTATATCCTTTACTATCCATGCACCTGTATATCCTTTACTATCCTTGCACCGCAACACTTACACATAATGCAACTGATTTCCAGACAAGCTTCACTGCATCCTGATCCTTCCGGCATACTGGAAACCTTATTGTGTGCACTTGCAGTCTTTCAGATTTCCATTTATTTCAAAGTTATTTCTCATATGCAATAATTTCAATCCAAATGTGTTTGCAAGATCTTCAGAAGGCTTAAATTTTGCTGCTGATGCAGCACCAAATATATTTTGATATTCACTCACTTTCTGCATCCTGGTCCACCAGGATGGATTTCTAGAAATGATGGTTATTATACTATTTTCAATCCATCTCGGTCAATATTTTGTTCCAAAACAATTAGGATAGAAATGAAGAAAAATAAAAGGAATAAAAGTAGCACTTGAAAGAACTAAAGTTTGAAAACTTAGTTATAAATTAGGTTAAATTATGAATATCAATCCATCAACAATTTGTCTCTATTACAGGACTGGAATTTTCCTACTTGTTTCTGAAATCTCGCATCTCACATGTGAGGAAATTTTAATACAATAGGAATTTTGCAGCCCGATTGTGCACTTTTTTAACAATTATGTAGGAGGTAATTCATGTGACAGAAATCTCACATTTCCAGAAATGGTGGGAACATTCTAGTCACGGCACTAAAGGACTAAAGGTTGATGTTTTCCACGCTTGGTCTCTCTCTAAGTTGTAGTTGACAAACACAATAAATAAGCCTTTATGAAGTACCTAATGAAAATTCACGTAACCAATAAGAGTTCAATGCAATTCACACTGCAATACAGTAAAATCATGTGCATAACTTGGTGATGTACAGATACCAGATTTGGGTTGCCACTTGCCAATGCAGCAATGCTGCAGTGTATGTCAATTCGCTGTTGCCAATTGTTTTATACTATAAACATTACCTGTAAATTTAAGCAAAAATATTGGCTGAGATAATTATTGACTAAATGAGAGGAGCTGATTCAAGAAGCCTCATCTGGCAATCCCTTTGTTTGCAGTCATAGTGAAATAAAATGATCATTATAAATTGTGTTAATTATATATGTATTCAATTAAAGTTAACTGTAAATTAACATTTGCATAATTTATGATGAAGGTTTTAAACTTTTTTTTTATTTTGATTAATGAAACAAATTTTTTCTTACTAGGTATTCTTTAAATGATCCCATTCTTATAGCTAAACATTTTAAATTCAACTACTGTCAAAAAAGTAATAAGAAATTATTTTGATGTTTTTTTTTAACTTCTTACCATGAAACATTTCATGAACAAGTTTGAGCTCATTTTAAAGGTCTTTGTGAGTGCTATTGTATGAATCTCCAAAAAATTTCATATGCTATTCGTAAGGTGCCAGATGCAGTGGAACCTTTGCTAACCAAGGTTCTTCTGTAAATGCATTTTTAGAGGTGTCCCTTATTACCCTGTTTTGCAAAGATGGCAGCCATTTTCTTTGGGATTGAAGTACAAAAATTCTATCAATGAAGTTTCAAAGCCAACACCTGTTTGCAACTTTTTTAAGCAAAATTTTTTTATTTGGCTAATATTTTTTTAAAATAGACTTTAGAAGAAGTACCTTTTTTAAATATGATTTTTCAACATTTTTTCAGGGATTCTTTAGAGCTAGTAAATGTATGATTTCTTAACTTCCTTTATGCTACACCTTGTTTTACAGTAGTTAGGGTGACAGATCCCCTATCCAAAATATGGAATATATACTACTACCAGTATATAGAAATATATATGGAATATATACTTTTTGAGCTGCATTAAGAGCTTCCCCATATATGAAGCCCCAAGATTTCCAATAGATTTCCAATTGATCTATGTAATTGTTGAAGAAAGTGTATGATCAAACTGCGAGATTCCTGAAGTTACCTAAAATGACACAATGAAATAAGTTTGGAGCCACAAGATTTTAGTATTAAGTAAGAAATTTCCAATCTTATCCTCAATATTCCTGGTAATATTTTGGACCTTACAACACAATCTTGAGCCTTGGCAAGTCATTTGTAAAACTTGGCGCAGTGTAGGTATTCTAGACAGGGAACAATAGCCAGACTAAAAAATCTCTGTATTTTCTCCTAGAATATATAGCCAAGATTTATGTAACTGATTTTTCTGTATTTAAATTGTAGCCATGAACCAATTTTTGAAGCTGAAAATGATTTTTTATCATTGTGAACTTGTTTCCAAAGCATAGAGAAAAATCCTATTGGTTTATATCATTTTTCACGGCCTGCATGTGTTATAGGTACCTATGTGTTAATAGTTAGTGTAGGTATACATACATGTTGAGAAAACGAAACAATTTTTTATGTATGAAATAGATTCACTGTATTTATATTAATTTCTATGACTTTTTGAAGAAATTTGGTTTAAAGAGGCTATTGGAAGAAAAGCAGTCCAAGGAAACAATTTTTATCTTAGATTTCTAAGAATATTTTGTCTTTGTTATTTTTGCAACGCAATTTTCTAAATCCATCAATTCTATTGCAGAGAACAAGGTATAGCTCTATTGAATCTTGATGTGCAATTCTTCATGTGCGGTAGCATTATTTGTGATTGTATGAATTTCAATTAAGAGTAAAATTATTGTTTGTGTTTTCATTGTATTTAGTCAATCTGACCTCATTGGATTCACTGGAATCACAATCACTCAAGAATATCTCCCAGCCCATCAAAATGGTGAGTATACTTGAATTTTGAATTTGAATTTATACATGAATTTTTTTTTTTTGAACTATACTTGAATTTTGTGATGATTGATGTAAAACATAAAAGACATTTATATTTACTTTGCTTCATCATTCTGGCAAAAAATTAAAAAGTGATCTTGTGGCAGCATATCTGAAATGAGCAGCAAGCATCTATTGGAGATCTTAAGATATCCACTATCATCTTGTTCTTCTTCAAACTTGATATTGTTCTTAAATTTATGGTGAAATTTGGAGAAAAACTTTCAAGAAATCTTTACAATGAAATTAATCGCTAATTTCTTAACAATTATGTATACATGATAGCATGTGAGGGAGGTGAATATTATACTTATACCGTGTGTATATCCTAAGCACTTAGCATTACAGATTATTCATAAAGCATCATAGCTATTCTTTTCTTTTTGACATTTCCATGCAATTCAAAAAATGATTTGAGCTTAATACAGTTCCAATTTCATTCTGCACTTCATTTTACATTCATGTAGATTGTTTTCTTTGGTATGATTAATGAGTCTGTTAAAGTATCCATATTAATTCTAAACAAGAGCAGTTTGCATAGATGAGCTATCCAGTCATGAACCCAACTTTAATTCAAATTGATTGTAACGCACTTCATCCTGCACTCAAGTTGATCTTTTCCTACTCATTAATTAAAAGAGATGTGCTAAAAAATACTTGAGCTTATAGCTGAAGTATTATTTATAAGGTATAGTACATGATGTTCACCTGAACTACTAGCTGCTAATGGGCATAATTTGGATTTTCTCATGAGTGCAAAGTAGAATTTTGAGGCTTCACAGTTATGAACGAGTAGTATATTCAGGATCGTATTTTCACTCTTATAATACCTCCAATTGTCAGTCATTACTGGATAGTCTTTGTGTTCGCACTTCTCAGTGATTTATTTACATTTTTCTATACTACTTATTACTATCATTTGATTTGTTGTTATCTGTTATATGCTTAATTACTTTATTTCGAATCGAATTTAATAGAACGTAATAATATAGTTTTGTGTTATCCATGTCTTTGACTATTCAAACACCTATGTGTGGCTCCTATATAATTTGTTTTTATTAGTAAATGTAAATGCGATTGAACACATTGATGCTATCAGAATGATTTTCTATGTAACTCGTTACTGCTGTTGAATTAGGTAAAGTTATATATACTTTGGCCGGGACCTAAAACCGCTGCACGTGCTCTGCAATAATTGACCTAAACTGAACCGCTCGAGCGAGATCGATTTCCCGATACGAAGCGCACATGCAGCAACGCGCTAAGAACGCGCTGCCTTTCAGCTTATGCACTGTCGTTACTACAAAGTTAGATACATACCGTGAAGAATACTCTCACGGTAGTATCTGTCTGTATTTGAGATCCAGCAGAATACTGGTATTGTTTTCTAAATTTTTTGTAGGTACATTTATTCTAGCAATTAATGTGGTCAAGTTTCCGTCATTTTAACAGTTGGATGTATGCACTATTTTGTTGTCCGACGTTAACTCAAATTTTCGAAAGAGAAAATAGTCCTTGACCAAATTTGGCGTAAAATAATAGTTCTGACAAATATTTGCGATTTCGCCTGTTCCGCACTTTATTGAAATTATGTTAAATGTTTCGTTTTATTTAGGAAATTCGTGTTGGTAATCGTTCATGATGACTGAAATATACATTGCCGTTTTGCAATACCGCTGTGATTATTAGATCTTTGCTTTATTTTTAGATTATATTAAATGATCAAATCGGGAATTTTTTCAGTAGGTTTGTGTGTCAGTCATGTTGCTTATATATAGAGTGAAAAACCTGCATCATTGATTTGTTTTGTGGTTACCTGCTCAGTAGAGCGTCTGGCAGCGTGCGGCGTGCGTGTGCGTCGCTCCCGACTCTTCCAGTCGGCAGTCGCCAGCAACATTGAGCGTTAAATCTTCTGGCTCGCGCATTCCTAAGATCATTCTTGCTCGCAGAACATTCTTGTCTAAAACCCGTTTGGGTTAGTGTATGAGTTTTATCTTTTATTTATCACAGAATGAGATCTGATATCATTTTACGGTTAGAATTGAAATTTTATAGCTTGCCTATTTATATGCCGAAACATAGAAGTACAAGTAAAATAGTGTCATCTATGCCAGTTATGAATGAAATATTTGGTTAAAACATCCTTTAATCTGTGATCATTAAGTTTAAGCGCTGAAGTGTGGAAAATTGTGTAAATAAACTGTCTGAATGTTACCTGACGAGAAAAATATCGCCCACAATTGACAAGTTTTGGCACCCGTAATTGTTGCAGCTGAGGCCAGGTGTCTGGAGTCTGCGGCGCGGGCCAAAATTAGAAAACTTTTCGGATTTTTCTCGAGCTTTTATTAGAATGTGTGTTGTTCAAGTTCAAGTCGATATAATGAAATATTCTATGAAAACCAGGTATTTTTTATCAGTAAACTGTTATTTTGTCGCAGTATTTCAATGCACGCACAAGTAGTCACAAGTGCGGAACCGTTTATTATAATGTAAAAGGACTAGCAGATATTTATTAGTATGTACGAGGACGTGCATCCGTATACCGGTACTCTAAATCTAAGGTTACTTCAGTGTTAGTGTACCGTGTGTGTTTAGAGGTCATGTTCAGCGTAGTTATCCATGTTCAATACGTGTGCTGTGTAACATAGATACCCGTATGTGAATTACATATTATTCTCAGCTTAAGGAAGTGAAAGAATCGTCGTTTATGGTTTTCGACAAGTGAAGTGATTTGTAATGTTACTTTCGTTTAAATGTGGGGAATGTTTTGGGTGCAATTGTGTAAAAACGTGAAATGCTATTGAATCGTAATTTAGATTTTTAATACCGCCCCAAAGTGCAAATGCAGCGTTCGATTTTTTTTTTTTTTTTGCTTATTGATTCCAAATTAAAAGCTACTCCGTAAATTAATAATCATAACTTGTTTCAATTACGGCGCTCAAGCATCTATGATGAAGGAAATTATTTATTTTGCAGTGAATTTAACAATATATTATGATTTCGAGATTAAATTCGGTGTTCTATGCAGTAGAAAATCCTGTAGCAGTTAACGCTATGGTATGCGCCTTGTGACATGGTCTGTCAGTGTTGTTGTTCTGGAATCTGAGTGACACCGTGTAACTAGTGATAAGTGACACCATGTAACTAGTGATTACTAACGTCCTGTAACTAGTGATGAGTGGCTCTTGCTCGTGTGAGTGCCATGAGTGACACTCAGTGCCACTCACGACACTTGCCGCCTGCCCTGGCCGGCATTCGCTTCATTTCTTGTCTTCTGTTCAGGTACGTTGCAGAACATCAAGCTGCCTAATTTTGCCTAATTTTGGTACCTATTTTTATTGTTAAATATTTTGTACATGCGTTTTTCTACTGATTCTTCGGGTTTAAAATACTTTTTTCGGGTTCGTTTTTTCAATGTTGTCATTTTTAGCGCTTTTTCTCATTTATGAAAGGAAAGGCGCTATTGTGCTCGTTATGTCCGTCCGTGACTTCACGTTTTCGTCGACGAGGAAATGCGCTCTTTGTCACTCACTGCAGTGAGTACTGAGTTATATTTTATAGTTCTATATTTAAGACTGATAACTTTTCTTGTGTGCCTTTGCAATTCAGATGCAATTGATTCATGGCAGGTGCCAAGTTTGACGATCGTCTTTGCATGTGCTGTTGTATCCTAGAATGGTTTACGAGCTAAAAGTAAATTTTAAGTAATATTCGTCATATTATAGGTCGTAATTCGTTGAAATATCGGCTGCAATTCGTTAAAATAATTCGTTAAAATATAGATATTTGTTAAAATTCGTTAAAATATAGGCCTTAATTTGTTAGCAGCACTGTACTATTTGACCATCAGTACACACACACAACCACATTGTACGTGAGGCCTGGCAAGTAACGGGCACCTGGGCCGTTAATTGAACAAGTCAGGTTTTTACATCACAGCTTGACCGCTCGAACCGCCCACTGCTGCTGCCGCTCAGCCCTCTAGGCACGCGTCTAGATCCACTTGTTTATTTATTAACCAAAATCATTTATTTATTTATTAACCAAGAGTTCCACTTTTTTATTTATTAACCAAAGTTTCCACTTATTTATTTATTAACCAAAAGTTCCACTTGCTTATTTATCAACCAAATACGGTTGCGATCCTTAACAAATATGATAGTGATAGGGAAATGGTTTAAGAAAGTATTGGCACTTATTCCGGTTGTTCTCGCCTGTCTAATTTGTTTATCTTACTTATTTTATTAAAATGATATTTATGATAGTTGGAAATAATAATTAAAACAAAATATAGGAATAACTAAAATATACATGATGGTAATGAGGAAATGGTGAAAATCAGTGCTCATCTATATTTGTTTTGTGAAAACAAGTGATGAAACGGAATAGCTGGTATACAGACCATCTGAGTTCTAAAACGCTAGTAATAATGATTTTATTCAGGGCCTAGGTAGACAATTTGTTGAATTTTTTGTAATTCTATTCAAACCTGGTAATAAATATGTTGATATGTAAGCATATTTTATATTTTTGCCTTGTGTATTTATGTATGAGAAGTACAGTTCAACAATGCCGGTTTATTGGTATATAGTATATACTGCGTTGCATGAAGCTCTTAGAATTCTGTTCACAAGCCTGTGCACTGAATCTAATATTGATTGTGATCAGAACTTATTACAACTTATTTAAGGTATCACAACTCATCCTAAAATGCCTACTAAATCTAAACTGGCATTCTGTTTATTTAATCTCATAACCTTTAGATAATTTTGAATTTTAGACTTGGCTTCAAAACGAATTCGTTAAAATATCGATTGATGCTACATTCTTGCTACGAATTATCAACTTTCTCTAACGCAACGCCTCACGGAATTACAGCTTATTAAATATGTAGTCACAACCTGTTTAAAACCACAGGATATTAGGAGATCCTTGAAGTGTTGCGAAACA